GGCAATCAACTTCGTATAGCACTGCGGTGGAATACCATTAGGGTTCGAGTGCTTCGAGTTGTTCGTCTCCCAGAAACAAAAGGTTCTGAAAGAATCAAATCTATAGAGTGTGTACCTCACGTTGTAGAGGTATTATTTTTTTTACTGAAATATAAATCGTAATATTTTATATTTCTAAAATGTACTGTTGATGCATATGTTTTTTTTTAAACAATTTCAAGGAACTTTTATTCATATGCACATTCCACAATTGTTTGTGCAAAGGTGCTTCAACAAATTTGAGGAAGGAAAAGTTTATCTACTCAATAGATTTGACGTGGCCTATAATTCCTACAGAAACAAAACCTCTACTCTCTGGTATATGCTGATGTTCTGTGATAGAACTCGTGCAGGATTATTGAAAGATGTTGATTTCCCAACATATGTTTATGACCGAGAAGATTATAATTTCGATGAAGAGGTGATCTATTGCATACTTACATTGTTTTCTCTCTTTTTTTTTAATATATAATTTTATTGATGTATTTACAGTTTAGTAACTTTCACGATTTGATGGATGAACAGGTGCCTGACGCTCCGGTTGGAAATTTGGCTAATGAGGATTGAATCAATGAGGAGGCTGCGTAATAAGAATGAATAACGACGAAAATATCAAGATTTTATGTGTACTTTGTTATTTGTTATTATTTTCGTCATACAATTTATTGATGAATGAAATTTCTATGTTATCATTTTATGTTTATTATGATCTATTATGTCATCATTGACGCATTTTCTTTTCAGAATACCCCATCGCACATTGTCATATTAATAGACGCATTTTAAATTATTTTGCTCCATATATTAAGTTATTATAAGTTATACATACATACGCAAAATTGAAAAATAAAAATAAAAATATTGAAAATATTTCAATAATATATCATATATTAGTCGATGTAACGCATATTCGTTTAAAAATCCTCCACGCAAATTCAAATATTAATATACGCATTTTAAATTATAATTGTTGCACATGTTAAGTTATACATACACTCACACGCATGTTAAGTGTAAATTGAACGCATATTAGAGCAACAATCCCCGATAGACATGTACTTGTTGGTATTGGAAATAAGTGACAAGTCAATTTCGATGTCAGCAATCTTCTAAAGTTGACTGGTCATTCAATACGTAAAAAAACTCACCAATTGATTTTTTTTTTTTTTATCGGGTCTAAGTCAGTGAATATAGAATCTCATGCACATTAAGAATGAAAGACGCGCATAATAACGTGTTAACGTCCGCATTTTAGTGAATATAAATTGAAGCACATTATTTTAAGATTAAGAATACCCCATTGCACATTGTTATATTAATAGACGCATTTTAAATTATTTTGCTCCATATATTAATTTATTAGACATACAAACGCATTCTAACAATGGAAAGGTATTTAAAAATGGAAGAAAAATATTTCAATATATCAAAGATAAATTAAAAATGGAAAAAATAAAAAATATTTGAATAATAATAGAAAACAGATTCTTTAATAGTTGTGTTTTATTAGGCGTCCGAATAAGCAATTCATATTTATCTCAACCGGTAAAAAAATGCACTCATTCACATACATTAATATCTTAACTTACACACACTAAAGTAGAAACGCAGGCACCCTGTACGTTAATTGTGAACGTCAATTTATTTTTAAGTTCACTAAACGGTTAACATTGAATTTATGCAATCGGTGAATTTTACCAAGTTATTCGTCTATAAAAGTGGAGTATCACCTTACCATACAGCATACATATTGAAATCGTGTCATTTCAGTTTTACAGACCATCATTCATTCTTCGTCATTTTCTTCACATTCATTAGGATGTTTACCCATCCTCATCATACTTGCCCTCCTTCTACTTGTTTGTCAATGTAGTTGATTACAATAACAACACATTCTAAACATCCCATGGATCAAATACTATATCTCAACCCTGGAAGTTTATACGAGGATTTAAAGGAACTATTAGCGGAGCCGACATCATTTAAGTAGAGCACATGTTATCGTTGTTTTCATCTAAAGCAGCACATTTTAAGCCTGAAAGGATCTTCTTCTGTGGATCTAAAGGCTAACTGATTTGGATATTCAATTTAGAGATCAACTTTGCCTGTAAGTTGAATATAACATGTGGGGCAGTCCAATACATCTGGATCAGTTAGATTTTAGATTCATAGAAGTCGATCTTTTCAGGTTTATAATGTGTTGTTTTAGCCCAGACATGCGGCAGGATCCTCTACTCCATTTGGAGATATATCTTTTGGTACCTTAATGCAGGCTTAACCAAAAGGAATATCTCCAAAAGGTATAGACGGATCCTATCGTTTGCCTGGTTTTTTTTTTTTTTTTTTTTTTTTTTTGTTATTAAAACAAGCTCTCATGTCCACCTCTGCTGTTGTTATTATTAATATTATACTTGTAGTAGTAGCAGTAGCAGTTCAAAGTGTAAATTATTTCAATGTAAATAATAAATCTTTCTGCATTTTATTCATTTTTTTCTTTTGGGTTGTTTTTGATAATGGTTAAATAAACTAGCAAATCCGAGTACTATTAGAGGATGTTATGTAATTTTGGATCTTAATAGTTTCGTGTTACATGATAATTTAACAGAAAAATTCAAGCACATTAAGATTTTTTTTCAAGGAAATATAAGATATAAAAAAAACGCACATTAAGACCAAATTCTATGCATATTACTATGTCCGGAAAACAACATCCAGACTCACGTATTTTCTAATGCACATTATGTTACTGCATTGCGCATGTTAAGCTTTTTTGTATTTGACACGGACTATAGTTTTAATACATAATGCAACGCACATTTTGTTGCCGTATTACGCATCTTGAGCGTACGTATTGCATTTCAAATATATTCTTTTTTTTCTTTTTGTTTGTTTATAATTTACAGGAATTGTTGTTTAATATTTTTCATATAACCAAAGTAATGGATGAGCCCATTGGTGAAATGGTAGAAGTCTTTATTTAAATTGATTCTGCCTAAGATTGAACCCTTATAAAGACTTGATCTTTTTATTATATTTTGCTTGTTTTTTGTTTAATAAAAACATATAATAAACGCATCTTAGACTGATATTTCGCGCACTTTAATTGGTTACCCGACGCACATTAAACTTTTGGCTTAAAAAAACTTTTATTTCGATGCAAATTAATTAAATGTATATTTACATGCATGTTGTTCTTGTAGCTCGCGCATGTAACAGAGCAAAGCAAAGCACATTAAGTCTTTTATACCAATCCACGTAATATTCAAAGATATTTGATGTCAGAACTTTAAGGCATTGGTAGTTTGGGAAACGGATAACATTGAATGGTCATTCAATGCCTTAAAAAACGCACCCATTAAAGAAAATCTTGAAAAATCTAATGTGTCTGTAAATCACGCAACATTCAAATCTCAAATCAGTGCATGTGACCAAGTCATTCCCCTATAAATTAGAATGAACAACACAAAACTGAGCATCAGGTTATTGAAATGGCTATCTCTCACGTTTATGCACGTACAGAAGAATCCTCCTGATTTATTCCTCATCTTCTATGTCATTTTCATCTTCCTCGCCCTCCAGCTTGTAATGATTGTAACTAACTACAAAAACAACACATTCTAAACCTGAAGCATCATTCGTCATTCTCAGCTTCAAGCTCATAATCTAGCTTCCAAACATCATCCAAGGCTGAGAGTTTAGCATTGTGGCAGTCTGGCGGTGTGTCGGATGCTGCCGGAACTAGAAGAGATGTCTTCAAAGTACTAGAAGAAATAAATATGTGCAATCGATTATATATGTACCATTTTATCTGCAAATTATTTCATAATCAAACAAACGCACTTTAAGTTTTGCAATCGCGCATATTAAACTTATTTTTAACGCATCCTATATTAACTAATAAATAAACGCATATTAGAAAAAGAACTGTTAAACATTGTCTTTGTACGCATATTAAGCTTTAATGTTGCGCAAGTTAAACTTTAATCGACGCATGTAAAGACTTTCGCATTTACCACGGACCAAAGTTTCTATACATAAACCAATGCACATTCGGTTTCCGTATTATGCATATTAAGCTTTAATGGAGCGCACATTAAAATGGTAATCAACGCATATTAAGAATTAACTGCACGCAGGTAAAGTATTAATGACACGCAGTTTAAATTATTTTTCTCCATATTTTAAGTTATACATACATACGCATTCTAACAATGGAAAGGATTTAAAAATAGAAGAAAAATATTTCAGTATATCAAAGATAAATTAAAAACGGAAAAAAATAAAAATAAAAATATTGAAAATTATTTCAATATATCATACGCACATTTTGTTGCCGTATTACGCATATTGGGCGTAAGTGTTGCGCATGTTAAGCTTTTTGTTAGTCTTTAATTTTCAGGAATTTTTGTTTAATATTTTTCATATAATCAAAGTAACGGATGAGCCCACTGGCGAAATGGTAGAAGTCTTTGAAATTGATTTTGCCCAGGATCAAACCCCCATAATGACTTGATTTTTTTATTATATTTTATTAGTTTTTTATTTAATAAAATATAATAAACGCATCTTAGACTGATATTTCGCGCACTTTAATTGGTTACCCGACGCACATTAAACTTTTGGCTTTAAAAAAACTTTTATTTCGATGCAAATTAATTAAATGTATATTTACATGCATGTTGTTCTTGTAGCTCGCGCATGTAACAGAGCAAAGCAAAGCACATTAAGTCTTTTATACCAATCAACGTAATATTCAAAGATATTTGATGTCAGAACTTTAAGGCATTGGTAGTTTGGAAAACGAATAACATTGAATGGTCATTTAGTGCCTTAAAAAACGCACCCATTAAAGAAAATCTTGAAAAATCTAATGTGTCTGTAAATCACGCAACACTCAAATCTCAAATCAGTGCATGTGACCAAGTCATTTGATAAGCTTAATTTCTAGACATTATTTAGAGTAATTTTAGTTAGTGAGTTGCATAAATAAATTAAGTTTTAGGGTTAATTTTATTATAAATATTATATTTAGTTATATGTTACTAGTTTAGACTAGTTTAGATGGGTTTTAATAAATATTAGGCTAATGTTGCTTTTTTATTAATATAAATAGGAGTTTTATTTTATCTATAGTATTAAATTTATTTGGTAGTTTTATATCTTAAATTTTAAATTAGTGTTTTATTTATTAAGTTAAGTGGTGTCATTAGGTTAATATAATTATTATTATTTTAACTTAATTGGTTTTGTTTTATTTTTCCTTTACAGAATTGTGCAGCAAGGAAAGAAAGAAAAAAGAGATTAAGGTTAGGGATTATGCTTTTAATTAGAGGGTCGGCAGATTAGATACGAAACAGAGAGAAAAAAAGAGAGAGCTTGGAGGCGGCGGCGACTTCGGCGAGGAGACTTCATCGCAGGGGATTTCTGAGCTTCGATCGCAGCTATCATCTTTTTAGGCTTGAATTATTTCTCTTTATCCTTATTTTTATTTCTTGTTAAAATTTCCAGAATGCTATTTCTTGAACATTCAAATATGATTATTGGCTAGAACTTTAATTAGGGATTGGGATTAGCCTACATTAGATTAATTGACTATTTTTCATGTGTTGAATCTTCCAATTTCAATTTAATAATTGAACTTGATTATATTTATTTTATGTATTTTAATTGTGGATTGTGTGACTGGCCATTGCATAATTCTAATATTAGGGTTCATAAGAAGAACTGACAGGTGAATTATGAACCTAGAACTCGTAAGATAAACACAATTGACTAAACTAGACATAGCTTTAGGTATTTGTGGTGATATTTGATTGTTGCTTAATGGGTTTAATTAATCTTGGTGAGATATCGACGGATGATCACACTTAATTGGATACAACCTAGTAGCTCGACGGAGTATTATTAGGATATATTTGAAGCAATCATCACTATAGTCATAAGAATTAATACTTAGAAGAGTTAGTTAATTATCCAATAGGTGAACCCAAATCCCTAGTCTTCTCTCAATTGGAATTTTCTTTTCATTAAGTTCATAAATATTATTTTTAATCACATTAATTATATTTATTTGAGATTTTCCTTATCAACAATTTGATTATTAAAGATAACAGTTAATAGTGTTCTTCGTGGGATCCACCCTGGAATATTCCAGGAATTTATACTGTGATTGACTCTGTGCGCTTGCAGATTATAGCACCATTCCCCTATAAATTATAATGAACAACACACAACTGAGCATCAGGTTATTGAAATGGCTATCTCTCACGTTTCTGCACGTACAGAAGAATCCTCCTCATTTATTCCTCATCTTCTATGTCATTTTCATCTTCCTCGCCCTCCAGCTTGTAGTGATTGTAACTAACTACAAAAACAACACATTCTAAACCTGAAACATTATTCGTCAATCTCAGCTGCAAGCTCATCATGCTGTAACCAAACATCATCCAAAGGCTGAGCTGAGCATTGTGGGAGGCTAGCAATGTGTCGGATGCTGCCGGAACTAGAAGAGATGTCTTCAAAGTACTAGAAGAAATAAATATGTGCAATCGGTTATGTATGTACCATTTTATTTGCAAATTATTTCATAATCAAACAAACGCACTTTAAGTTTTGCAATCGCGCATATTAGACTAATTTTTAACGCATCCTATATTAACTAATAAATAAACGCATATTAGAAAAAGAAGGTGTTAAACATTGTCTTTGTCCAGATTACGCATATTAAGCGTTAATGTTGCGCAAGTTAAATGTTAATCGACGCTTGTAAAGACTTTGGCATTTACCACGGACCAAAGTTTCTATACATAAACCAACGCACATTCTGTTTCCGTATTACGCATATTAAGCTTTAATGCAGCGCACGTTAAAAGTGTAATCAACGCATATTAAGAATTATCTGCACGCAGGTAAAGTATTAATGACACGCACTTTAAGCTAGTAGCAGTGATTGTTAAACACAAATCAGTGATAAAAACAAAAACTAGTAATAGCTGAACATTAAATTCAAGTATCTCAACTGTAAAAAGCGTTCTGGAATGAGATTAACTAAGTATTTGTGTTTCATATTTGCTATATATTTTCGTTCTCAACTGTAAAGGCGTTGTAAAAATAGTCTGCTATGCCTTCTTCTTACCCTTTTGTTTGTCCTTATTTTTGGGGTTAAGTGGGCAAGTTGTGGTGTCATGTTGATCTCTTCTAACACCACAAAAATTGTACCTCCTGCCCTTTTCTTTTTCCATTGCCAACTCCTTGCTGCTTTTGATACGTTTACCGCTGCCCTTGTTCTTTGCATGTTTCGGTGGAAGTATATTGATCTCTGAAATCTCTGTTGATCCACAAAAGGATTCTATAACAGTCTTCCTGCTGTGTTGAGGGGATAACTTTTCCTATCCTGACATTAGCAGCTGTTTTTGTTCATTAATCACTTGCGAAAATGCAGCCAATTGCTCAATGTTTGAACCTGCTAGATCAATACAACAGTGTACATCTGCCCACAGTTTGTTCAGCATCATCTTCTTTTCATCCTTTGGTCCATTCTGATCATAAATGACACCATCTATTTCAAATGTAGCCTTTGAAGATGCATCCTTAGTCCAACGGTTAACCACATACCTCCGAGGGATCTTTTCAAGGTCTCTAAAGACCACAAATATGTGTCTACACAACAGTCCAACCATCTCAAACATCTTGCAACTGCATTTGGCCTCATGGTCATTTACATTGTGCACCACAGTAAATATTTTGTTCTTTCCATCCATAATATCATAGTGCAACACTCCACCGTCTTCTCTAACACTCAACACCATACATTTGAAACAGGAGACACATGTTTCTTCCTGAACTTGATAGGAAACACTAATGGTGTAGACGATTGAAGCGTGCTTTTCGATCCCCAGAGGCGTCTTTATATCTGGATTGTAGCCTTCATTGTCACTGTTGAGCTTTGCATTTGTGTTACGTTGTGATTTAAGAGCACTGTCAAAGTTCATCATGAATTCAACTAGGCTAGAATGTGGGCCAGTGAAACGGCTGTACGTGTAGTTCTCACTTTCGGAACGAGACGTTGTCCTGAGTAGTCCCCCCATAAAGTCATCTCTAAAATAGGCTGGGATCCAATGGTTTCTAGCCTCAAACATAGTTGTAAACCAATTGTGTTCGACTAAGTTGTACTTTTCCATGAGCTCTCTCCACTGTTTCTCAAAATCAGGAGGTTCCAAAGATGACGTCCAAACGATTGAGTTCAGTTTGTTCTTGAACTCCTCATTCTTGTTCAACGTAGGACCCACCTTTTCCCCAACTTTACACATAATGTGACACATGCAGTAGCGATGCCTGGCTTGCTTGAAAACTCTTGGAATCGCCACTTTCATAGTTGGATCTTGATCGGTGACAATTATTCTTGGTTCCATACCCATTGCCTTTTTAAATTTCTCAAAGAGCCAAACATAAGACTCAATGTCTTCTTTCAACAATAGTCCAACGCCAAATGTTATACATTTTTTATGGTTATCAACTCCGGTGAAGGGTGTAAAAACCAAATCGTACCCTACAAGACAAAAAGCGTCATCACAGTATACATGTGTCAAACTGGCGCTCTCAGAGCATTAGCGTGACGCACATTAAGTCTTAAAATCGCAGACACATGTACTTGAAGTCTAATTCCGGATCTTACTCATTAATATGCGCGACATTAGTGTTTAAGATGCGTGGTATAAAGCGACAATGTGTGCTTACTTATATTACAATTCTTTTCAAGTAAACAATGAACCTGTCTAAATCTTAACCTGGCTCAACATATCAGGCAATGCTTAATGTGAATTAATTAGTGAAACGCGCACAAGAATGCGAATAGAATAATACCTGTTGGTTGAATATGTGGCATCAAAAGAGACAACATCTCCAAATGCAACAAAATTCTTTTTTGACATTGAATCTGCCCAAAACAGTCTACTCATCTTCTCATCTTCATCAACTTCGTAGTTAAAAGCAAATGCAGGGTACATCTCTTGTTTTTTAATAAGATTATGCACGAGTATTTGTGCATCAGCACCCAATATGTATGCTCTGAGATCCCTTCTGACATTTTTAAAGTCCACTACAGTTGCTCCAACTTCAGAGTAATCCCCCACAATCTGACTGTATAAACCGTGTGATTTTGATGCTCCAATATTTGCCTTAGCACAATCTAGTATAAACTTCTGATGAACACTGGAGATGTTTCTATTTCCCTTTAGGAACTGCCTTGCAAGAACAGAAAACATGCTGTGATTGTGTTTTTCAATAAATGTCTTAACTTGGTACCCAGCTGCTCCAATGTACTTAAAAATAATCCTAGCTCTGCAACCAGTTCTGTTTGAAACCCTCCGTCGCTTTGGACGCGAAGGACCTTCCCCCGCATCTGCAGTTGGTTTTTAGTGACAATGTTGAGCACCCGTACTCTTAAATCCCTCTCTATTGCAAACGATTTGCTTTTGAATTTTCGTCCCGTCGCGTGCTGTAGTGAGGGAACTAGACGTCGTGTCAAACCTGACTTTGGCAGCATAATTGTTGCAGAATTCAATACCGGCATCCAATGTTTTAAAAATCATGTCAACCGCTGGTTTGATTTAATCTTCACAGTGCGGAGTCCAATACTGCGTCATTCCAGGAGATATGGTTAATGTATAACCGTTGCTGCTGCTGCTGGGGCTCAAACTGGGGTTGTTCAGAGATTGCAAGTCACTGGGAACTGTAACACATAAGCATGAAGTTATTATTGCGTTGTTGTAAGCCTCTACGTGCGTAGTGTGAATACTTAATATGCGTTAATTTAATCAGATCATTGTCAATATGTCAGGTTTATAAAATACAAGAGTACGTGCGTCAGGTGGGCACTTAACGTGCTTCAGGTTAATAGTTAGGGTTCGTATGTTGAACAGTTAACATGCGTAAGTGTTTTTTAAAATGTTAGGCCATTAGTTAACGTGCGTCAGTGAGTGCATTAACATTAACATGCGTGTGTTTAACAAATAACATGCGTAAGGGTTCTTTAAAATTTTACGCCGGTAATTAACCTGAGTCAGTGAAAACTGTAATGTGTTCATCTGTAAAAATTAACATGCGGCTACCTAATCATCTACGTGCGTAAGTCTTTAGACTCGGAATAATTAAAGTAGGTCAGTAATGCAGTTGTTAAGTTGCATGCATGTAGTTTTTTAATGTGCGTGTAATTAAGACAAGAAGGAGGCCAATACAAGAGCAGATAAAATTAATTCCAAATAAGCGATAAAATTTGTGTAATACCTTGATCGAATTCTTCCATTCTTGATCGGTTCACGTTGTTGCTGGGTTTAGGTTTCCGTTTGAAGAATAAGCTATTGAACGATGAAGAGAATAGACTTTATTGTCAATTTCGTAGAGATTGCAAAATCGTCTGAGATTAGTAAATATCGGAGATTAGGAATCAATGGAGAATTTTGAAAACGCGCAAAGAAGAAGAAGATCAGTAATTTTGAATTTTTTTTAATATAATCAAAAGGACCAAAATACCCTTAATGAGCAATTCGCGTTTTAATTTTGCTGATAATCTTATTCGTTGGATCAACTCCTACGTAAGGCTTAGATTCAACCTCATTTCTCACGGGAAGGACTAAATGCATGCGAGCCCTTCCCTATATATATATATATATATGTGTGTGTGTGTGTGTTAGGAATAATTGTAATATAGTTTTGATGAGCCAAAATTGTATTTTTAGAATTTTCCATATTTTATTTTGAGTCTAGTGTACCAACTTCAAAATAGACTTAAGAAGGCCTCTCAGAATATTGGTACTTAGGATTTATTTGCAGTATTTGTGGCAAGATGTATAAGCAGGTCAATGGACAAGGTGTTGTTGTGCTTTGTGGAGAACCTTTGTTCGAATCCGAGTGGCAGGGAAGACGATTATGAGCATAAATTAGTTATGGGTACACGTTCTTACGATCATATTTGAATTTATATATATAATCAACACAAACATGATCAATAGGTTGCCGTAGAGCATTGGTTAGAGAACTGGATGGTGTTATAGTTGGACATGGTTTCGATTCTTGCTAGTAGCATTTTTTAGAAGATGACACCTGGAGAAAGCATGCTGTCTACATCACACGTGGCTGCAAGAGATGGAGTAGGAAGGCACAAATAAATTGCAAGGCACAAATAAATTGCAAGTCAGAAGGCATTATTAAGAAGAAACAATTTAAAAAGAATGGACTACATTTCTCATCAACTTCATCAGATATCTTTTGCCCATTTTGAAAGAAGAGGCGAGCTGAGGAGGAGGTCACGCTTTGATGTAGTGGAGGTCACGGAGAAATCTCAACAAAATAAAGGGTCACGCTCTATGTTTAATTAAGGTTAAATAATTCATGGAGAAGAGCTTCGGTCTTAATTCTTAAATTATTTCATGGAGATGAGCTACGAGCTTCGGTCCTAATTTTTAGAAGAAGGATGAGCTAAGGTTTATTTATTAAATGGATGAGCTACGATCCTAAATTAAATCATGGAGATGAGCTACGGTCAAATTTTTAGAAGAAGGATGAGCTACGGTCAGATTTTTAGAAGAAGGGGTCAAGAAAGATCAAGACAAATCTCTGACAAAGCTTTAATCACAAAGTATGGAGATTACTCGCAAGATCAGGAAAATCTCACAAAGTAAAAAATCATTCTGACATTTGATAAAAGTTGAAATTATTTTGAACATCTCTACAAGGCAAACTTTCAGTACAAGATTTCAAAATTTGAAATTGTCTATCTCCAACGGGCAACTTCAAAAATTCTCAACTATAAATATGGGCAAGGATTGAAGACTTGAAGCAGAGAAAAATACACACGATCAGAGAGCAATATTTGTGAAATATCCAGTGCATTGAGCTTTTCACGTAGATATCTTCAAGTCTATAAGAGAAATTTGTTTTCTCTATAAAACAATTTTCTATAGTGTGTAGAAAGAGGGTTGATTTTAGCTATGTGCAAAACACTACCCTGTTGAGTGTAGCTATGTGCGAAACACTCGGAGTTGCTAAGTGTAGCTGTATGCAAGACACTTAGTTGGCGTAGGAGTACATCTCTGTGCAAAGTACTCGGGGTTGAGTGTAGTTGTGTGCAAAACACTCAGGGAAGTGCTTGTGTAGCACTTGATTCACTATTTGTATCTGGGTGAACGAGATAGTGAATATCCTCCTTGGAGTGAAAGGAGAAGAGTGGACTAGGAGGATTACGCCACCTCCGAACCACTATAAATTCTCTCTCATTTTACTTACTGCTCTCATTTATTTACCGCTCATATATTATTGTGAGCTAACCCATTTTTATTTTTGCTATTAACTATCTGGACTTATAATTGCCATACGTGTACATGCATATCACCATAATTAACTTTGCATAAGATACTGATTAGCTCACTTCAATTTAAATAGACATTGCTTAAATTCATTTGAGTTAATCTATTCATACGTGGATATACATACATGCATAATTCATCTTGCACAAGACATTGAATAATTCATTTCTTTTAAGTTTCACAAGTGCACGAAATCAGCATCATTTACATAAGTTTTATTTGAAGACCCATTTTGTACTGATCTGTTAATTTACTCATCCGGGTTTAGTACTTTTCACATTCGCATGCGAGTAAAATTTTGCATACATATTATTTGAGCTATTTCAAGCATATCTAACGTATTGCATGTGATATATCTCTCTATTTTTACGTAACACTTTACTATTGAATTATTCCGTTGGGCACCCAAGTTGAATATCTTGTTATTTATTTATTACTTGGAGTTGAAATTACCAAAGTGTTATTTATTGTGAAAAAGTTTAAAAAGTCTATTCACCCCTCCTCTAGACTTTTTACCACCCTATCGGGACCAACAATTGGTATCAGAGCAGTTGTCTATTTGAGTCAATCTTGACTGCTAGACAGATCTCAAAAATCAAAATGATAAAGAGAGATATGACTCTTGCCCAAAATTTATTATTTTCTCTAGAAAAATTTGATGATTGGAAAATTCGCATGCAGGTACATTTATCCACACTGCATGATGAAATGTGGGAAGTAATCACTAATGGTCCTATTGAAATTTTGCAAGTGAACATTGCTTCCGTACAAACAAGTGGTGCTCCACAGTATGTTCCAAAGCCCAAGGCAGAATGGACGCGCGAAGATAGAATAAGAAATAATCTGGATATTGCCAAGGATATTTTATTTAAATCTATTGATGATACGATTTTTCCTAAAGTTCGTAAATGCAGGACATCGAAGGAAGTTTGGGAAACACTCATTCAGATCGGTGAAGGAGACGAACAAGAAAATGATAATAAAATCACCATATCATTAAAGAAATTTGAAGATTTCAAAATGCTAAGTGGCGAGAATATTATCGATATGGAAACAAGATTTTCCAAAATCTTAGGAGAGATTAATGATCTTGGAAAAGACATTAATCAAAAAGAAATTTCGCTCAAAATCCTACGCGGTCTACCATCAAGTTGGGATATGAAAGTCACCGCCATGAGAGATCATAGGGATCTAAAAACTCTATCAACCAAGAAGCTCTTTAGTGATCTCAAAGACTACGAATTTGAGATGAAATCAAGGATGGAGGAAGAACGAAAAGAAAGAAACAACGCACTAGTTGCCGAACAACCGTCCACGTCAAGGTCAGTAGAAAATAGTGAATTATTAAATGACGAAAATTTTGCTTTGTTTGTCAGGATCGGAAATTCAAGAAATTTATGAGGAAAAACAACTACAAAAATATTCCTCATGCAAGCTCGTCAAGAAGGCAAAGAAGGAACAACCTTGAGGGCAATATATACTTGTGCTACAACTGTAGAATGCCAGGACACTTTTCGGTTGAATGTCCTTACCCCAAGGTAAGCAAATATCAAACTGGCAATGTACAGGAAGAAGTCAAATCCAAGGAAAGAAGATTCAAGAAGGATAAAAGAAGAGCCTTAATTAGTGATTGATAAGCACTATTTATATATTTAATTTAGATTAGTTTTTATAATAAATTAGTTTTATTTGTTTTTACATTATATTATTTTGTGTTTTATTTTATATTTTGTAATAATATAATAATTATTTAAATAATTAAGTTTAAATGTTATTTTTGGGCCTTTAGGAATATACATATTGATATCATTATTAATAAGAGTTGGGCTAGGTAGATTAAAGTGAACTCTTTATGTTTCTTATTTAGTTTGACCCAACCCAAATGTTATTTGTTATTTTATTTTTAAGCCCAAATCCTATGCCTAAACTTAATATGCTTTTTTTTCTTTCCCTGTGAATTATGTACGGAATTCATATTTGAGGTCCAGAGAGCAGCTTCAGTTCAGACCGTTCATGATCTGCAGCGTCGACATCGGCAATTGCTTCGTTCGTCCGCGACTCCTTCGGCTGCTGCGGTGAATTCTTCTGCGTTCGTCGTTCGTGATTTCCAGCCACGTTCGTCCGCAAATAATTCCTATGAACAGATGAAATCAAATTGAGGCAGAGGTTGGAACAACAATAGCTACTTTGTTAATTTTCTCTGGTTAGAAAAATAAGTATTATTTATTTTCTAGATTTTGTGTGGTTAAAGAAATTAAATTATTTTGTGGATGTTAGTGAAATTAGGGTTATTTTGAGCTGATTAGGGAGCCTAAACTAGTATAAATAGGGCTGGATTTTTCAGTAGAGAACAGTCAGTTTTTAGAACAATTTTATTTCTCTGTAAACTTTTAATTATTATGTTCTGCTAAGTTTATTTTCCAACTCAAGAATAACTGAAGTTTTGATTCTTTTAGCATTGTGAGATTTAATTTGGTTTTTTTTATGCTATATTATTTATATATCTTCTATTATCTTGATATATTACAGCTTTGATTAATTGTGCAAAAAGGATCCGTTGTTCAATTTTCATTCCAGTAAATTGCCATTTAGAATTCTTGAATCCGTAATTGATTAAGTATTCTAAACCTTAGTGGTAAAATAACATAGTTGATTATAAATTAGATTTTCAATCTTATGTTATGAAGATGTATAATCTAGTTTAAATGGACCGAGCTTGCGAGTCTGTTGGCTAGAATTGGTAGTCTTTCTAATTTTTAATGCTGGTAGTTAATTAAATCCTAAGAGCTTGTTTAGGGTTGTTAATTATCTAGGGAAGTAATTGAAGAGCCTGTTTTGATTACCGATAAAGTAAGGAGAGATATGTTGTTAGAGCTTGTTAATAACCATAACCAGTTTGGTGTAGGATAAAAAGATTTAAACTTTATTTCAATGATCACTTCTTTGAATCAATTATGATATTATGTCTTGGGTTGGATACTAGTTTTCTATTGACTCATTTTATTTGATATTAATATTTTTGTCATTTTATTATTTGCATTTTGAACTTGAATCGCAATTCTATTCTTAATTTAATCTTGGCATAAAATTAAATCAAACCAATCTCTGTGGGTACGATCTTACTCATCACTGTTGCAATTTATTTAAAGTAAATTATTATTTGTTGGATTCGACACCCACCAGTGATCCTTTGGAGACAAGTGAGTCAGAACTATCGTCAAGTGATGAAAGTGACACCTCAAAAGATGACAATGCAATGTTTTGCATGAGTATCTCCAAAAATTCATCATACGAAGACATGTGTATGTCTTATGGAAAATGAAAATGAAGAAGATGAGGTAACATCTAAATCTTATG